TTTAGTTCTGCTGTGCATAGGGTCACTATGGGTCGGTACCAACTCAGTGACACCTAACAACAACAACAATATGACGCTGAAGGATAAGCAGTGGATGGATAACCACAAGTTTGGTGGTTCAAACCCATCAGCCTGTCCTCAGAAACCCTATACAGCATCTCTATGAATTCTAACTGACATAGTGGTACTTAACAACAACAAAGTTGACACAAATTTTTGGGGACACAATTCAGTCTGTGACAACTGTGCAACATTATTCTCAATAGTCAATTAAAGTATGTTTTCTGCATTCTCAATATATGAAATAATAGAAGCCAGAGCTGGCTCTGTTAATAAAGCACCTTAATTCCATTGTCTTTAAAACTAGGGAAAATAATAGACCATTTACATCTAAAAAAAAGTTCACAAAATTAGTTTGTGTTCAAATAATATATATCATAATTTGATCAGCTAGAATAATTTCAAAAGTCTATGAATCTAACAAATTTAATCAATTATTTTTGCCCTCCCCTAGTTCTCTGCTTCTTTTTCTTCCCTCCCCAAATAAACAACATGCCTATTCTGTTAACTATGAGACCAAATGCAGATTAATTTTTAATTTATTCTTATATTTTCACTATTTTAAATAATATGCTTTCACTGAATTGCATGTGGTCTGTAGCAAAAGAGAACATTTCTGAAACTTTCTTCTTAAATGTTGAGAAAATTGTTCACAGCGATTACTGTCTTTGACATAATCTTGTGGAATCTGTGCATGCCTTTCTCTATATCCTGAAAGGTGATGAAGATTTAAGACAGAACTCTGAGTCTGAATTTATATATGCGAGGGCTTCAGAAAATTCCTGGGAAAACTCCATTATCTTTTAATTCTAAGAACTTTGCAAGAACTTTTTGAAGCTCCCTCATAAAAGGAATTCATAATGGCTCCCTTTTTTGTTTTCTGCTTTCTTAAATGATACTTGATTTAATCTTTTTACTATCTAATAAAAGCTCCAAAACCAGACTTCATAAAAATGGAGTTGGAGTATTTAAAAAAAGACAAGTCATATCACAATAATGCAAATGACAGAGCTCTGATGCAATTCACTGACTCATTCTTTTTGCAGAAAGAAAACCTATTATTTCTGGCAGATTACCTAACCCTGCAGAAAATACAGACTGTGTGTTTGAAATCCAAATGAGTTGTCCAAAAAATTAATCATTGAAGTTGGTTGAAGTCTTACCTCATCAGTATTCAATGTGTCTGCCTTAAGATGAAAGAGGAAAAGAAACTCCTCAGGTGGAGAAAAATAGAAGGAACTTTATCAGAGAGGAAAGGCTGCTGTCCTTTACTCATACCCAGCTCCCATTGACTTCAATCAATTCCAGCCTCTCAGCAAGAAGAACTTTGCTGCAGGATAGAGTTTTGAACTTCACTAATGCTATTACAAGGGGATCAAGGCTTTCATAATAAGTTTCATAACTTGGATACAGAAAGAATCACTGGACACTGGACAGACTTGGAAAATTATGTTAACTTCATGAATATGATCTTTTTTGGAGATGGAAAGTTGTAGAGTAGGTGAACATGTTCATATAGATGTATAGTTGTTGGAACTGAAAGTTTTATGAGGCTATCATAATGTTATATAAGTAGTTTCCATTCATGGGTTAAGGGGGATATATTTGAATCATAAAATCAAGAATTTGGAATATGATAAATTTGGTTATGAGAGAAGAACTAGTCAGAATCTCCTTGCTTCATATCCCACTTCTGTACCCCTGTCAATATTCCAATTAAGAATTTGCCCTGTGGGTTAATGCACTGGACTGCAAAGTTGGTTTGAACCAAAAGGTCAGCAGTTGAAACTCACCAATCCCCCTTGGAAACTCAATACAGGGTCGCTATGGGGCTGGAACCTACTCAGCAGCACTTAACAACAACATAATGGGTCAAGTGAAGCATGCTAGTTTTACATGCACTGTGTCATTTACTCTTGCTATAATCTTTTGATATAAGAAAGTCAAGTCATGAAAAGTTAAGATAAGTTTTCTAGGCTATTTACCTAGAATGATAGGATATAGCTACTTAAATTTCTGCTCCTGTAAAGATTTACAGCCTCGGAAACCCTGTACAGGGTCGCTATGAGTCGGTACCGACTCCACGGCACATAACAACAAACAACAACACAAAATAAAAGATTATTATGAATCAGTTTTCATAGAGGACACAGAATGCCTCCATTCCTTTCCTATAGAGCAATTTCATGCCAAACCCTCTTATCTGGTTACAAGATTTATTTGACAAAACAAGATTGGCATTGCCAGGCATGGCTCTGTATCAGAAACCATCCCTAATAAGTACACTAAATAATTTGAAAAGGATTAGGCATGGAAAATGGAGACCATTTTGAAGTTGTCAATCATTTCATTTTACTTGGGTCCATAATCAACATCTATGGAAGCAATGATCAAGAAATTGAAGGAAATATTTTATTGGCCTAATCTGTAAAAAACTCCTTTAAAGTGTTAGAAAATGAATATGTCACTTTGAGGGCTAAGGTGCACTTAACCCAAGGCAAGGGATTTTCAATCACCACATATACAGGTGAAAACTGGGTAATGAATAAAGCAGATCATAGAAGAATCTATTCATTTGAATTATGGTATTTACATAAAATATTGAATATTCAATGGGCTGCCAAGAGAATGAACAAATCTGTATTAAAAGAAGTAAAGCTAGAATGCTCCTCAGAAACAAGAACTGAGAGATTTTATCTCATATGCTTTGAACATTTATCAGGAGGTATCAGTCCCTGGAGATGGGCATCATGCTTGGTAAAGTAAAGGGTACATGAACAGGAGGAAAACCCTCAATGAGATGGATTGCCACAATGGGAGCAACAAAGAGCTCAAACATAGCAGTAAGTGGGAGGACTGCGCTGGACTGGGCAGTGTTTTGTTTTGTTGTTCATAGGGTTGCTGTGAGTCATTCTCTACTTGATGACACCTAATGACAACAACAAAGTCTGCTTCCGGCAGGAAGCTGTGAGGTAGAGCAAAGCTGGCCCCTTGGGACCTCTCCTCCCAGGCAGTCACTTCTCAGTCTTGTACAGACCCTGGCTCTTTTGACAGTTACCACCAGCCTTCTCCCAAGGGAGCAGAAACTCCCCTACATGACCTAATGAATGTAGTGAGGTCTTCCTGGAGCCTAGATTGCAGATTATCCATTTCCCACTCCACCATTCGTCTGTCAGGTTGTCTTGTGTGCTGTTATGATGTTATAACATTGGTATTTGAAATAACAGCAGGATCACCCTGAGTGGACAGGTTTCAGGGGAGCTTCCAGACTAAGACAGACTAAGAAGAAGGAGGGACAGACAACTTATAAATGCTTAGCCACTGAAAACCTTGTAACTAGAAGCAGAGCATTGTCAAATATAATGCTGGAGGATGCGCCCCTCAGGCTGGAAGGCACTCAAAAGGTGACACACAAGGTTGTAGAGCTGCCTCCTCAAACTACAGTTAACCATAATAATGTGAATAGAATAAAGATTTTGGAAATTTAATTTGCTGATGGGGCACAACTCAAAATGAGGAGAAACAACTACAAACACCCATTAATAATTGGAACATGAGATGCGTGAAGCATAAATCTAGGAAAACTAAAAGATGTCAAAAATGAAATGGAAGCATGATGACCAATATCCCAGGTATCGCTATGGATGTTAAGTGCCATCGAGTCAGTTCTAACTCACGGCGACCCTGTATAGGGTTATCAAGGAAAGGCTAATGGGCTTGAACCACCAGTATTGTGGTTAGCAGCCCAGTGCTTATCCTACAGAGCCATACAAGGACTCCATCCTAGACATTAGTGAGCTGAAATAGACTGGTACTGGGTGTTTCAAATCCAAAATCATGTGGTTTACTATGCCAAGAATGGCAAATTGAAGAGGAATGACATAGCACTCATCATTAGAAAGAAGATTTCAAGATTTAACTTTAAATACAACAATGTCTGTGATAGGATAATAACCATACACTTATAAGGAAGAATAGTTAATACCACTATTATTAAAATTTACATACCAACCACTGAAGTCAGTGATGCTCATGGCTGCAGTTAGGTCTTCTTGGGCACCTGAGTTGGTCTGCAGCGGCGGAGACTCGGACGCAGGCACCGGGAAGGCGGCTCGCAAGGTAGCGGTTGTTTATTTTCAGGGTCCTTCCACTCAGCTTCTTGCCTTCAAGGCCACCTGATAAATTTCCAGATGCCACTGTTGGTTGTCATACTGCACCTCGGGATTTAATTTTCAGCCTGTTTTGTTTTTAAACTCTCTTTCCCTCTCCACACCCATTGTTCTGGCCCTTTCCCTATTAAAAAACAGTTCAGGGCTGGCTCTTGTGCTGAGAGTATCTGTGTGTATGCATGGCAGAAAAGCCCACCAGTGGTGGGGGTGGGGAGTGTCCACTCATTCAGGCACCCCCTCTAGTCAACAGAATGGAGGTGTGCAAACAGTGGGGGGGCCAATGAACAGATATCAAAAGAAAAAAGATAAGAACAAAGCAAAACCGGCAAAGTGTATTGTCCACCGTTGCTCTGAGGTTCCCGCAGCATTATTCCATGATGGATCTGCTCCCCTGCTTGGTCTTGTCGTTTGGTCTCACCCAAGTTGGCTCCAGGCCGCTGAGCCCGGCAGATTCAAAAGTACGTGATTTCTTACTTCCGCTACCAGTTCCAGTATCTATAAGCCTTCAAACTTTATAACTATTTCTACCTATGTGGTTCAGAGTTTTGGAGACCTGCCCTGAACCTGCTTCACCTGGTATTCTGTGGTATTGCTGACAGCGAACATCACTGCACCTCCTCCCTATCTGCCATCAAGCCCCACCTCTCTTGGCTATACTTTTTCCAAGACAGATTTGTTGGTTCTTCTGGCAGTCCATGCTATTTTAAACATGAGGGGCTCAACAAGATCTGATTATTATTATGTTGTTGTTTTTAAGTGCCATTGAGTCAGTTCCAACCCATAGTGACCCCACAGACATCTGTTATCGCTGTGTTGAGTCTGGTCATCTTGCCAAGGATTGTGATCTTCAGGAGGATGAAGCCTGCTATAACTGCGGTAGAGGTGGTCACATTGCCAAGGACTGCAAGGAGCACAAGAGAGAGCGACAGCAGTGTTGGTACAACTGTGGCAAACCAGGCCATCTGGCTCGTGACTGTGACCACGCTGATGAGCACCAGTGCTATTCTTGTGGAGAATTTGGACATATTCAGAAAGACGGCACCAAAGTGAAGTGTTATAGGTGTGGTGAGACTGGTCATGTAGCCATCAACTGCAGCAAGACAAGTGAAGTCAACTGCTACTGCTGTGGCGAGTCAGGGCACCTTGCACGGGAATGCACAATTGAGGCTACGGCTTAATTCTTTTCCTTGGTCGCCCCTCCTTTTTCTGATTGATGGTTGTATTCTTTTCTCTGAATCCTCTTCACTGGCCAAAGGTTGGCAGATAGAGGCTACTTCCAGGCCAGTGAGCTTTACTTGCTGTGTAAATAGAGGAAAGGGGTGGGGAAAAAAAATAGACTTTCTACATTTAACTACAAAAAAAAGTTTATGTTTAGTTTGGTAGAGGTGTTATGTATAATGCTTTGTTAAAGAACCCCCTTTCCGTGCCACTGGTGAATAAGGGATTAATGAATGGGAAGAGTCAGACCATTAAGCCCGTTCTGGGTTTCTTGAAACGTTCCCATGTAGGAGGTAAAACAATTCTGGAAGTGTCTATGAACTTCTGTAAGTAACTTTAATTTTAGCATAATGATGGCCTTGGATTGTCTGACCTCAGTAGCTAGTCAATAACATCAAGTAACATCTATATCAGGCCCTACATAGAACATACAATTGAGTGGGAGTAAACAAACACAAACATGCGTGTTAATGACGATGAGAGAGAAATACCAGGATAAAAGTCTAAAAAGGAACAACTTCATCACAGAGTTGATGCTGGATATACACATGGTGATGGCAAAGGTTTAGAACACACTTTTTTTTTTTTTTCTCTTCAAAGACTAAATCTAAAACCCAGAGTAAACATCAATGCTCAGAGTTACCATAATTTGGAGCTGTTCAGGAATTGCAAAGAAATGCACTTTCACAGAAATCAAGATGTTATTTTTGTATGCTATATCACTTAGACAACTGTGTTTCATTTGCTGTAATCAGTTTCTAAAAGTTAGATGGTAAAAGCAACTGAAGTCCTAGAAAATAGAAATGTAATTTTAAACTATCCAATAAAGCTGGAGGAGGAAGGGGAGTTTGACTAAAGTTCTTTTGTTTCAAATTTTCATTTGATATACATAGTACAAAATGTCCTATTAAACGGGAATGTGGAGGACTGAAAGCTGATAGTTTGGACTTTTCTTTTTCTACTAGCTCAGTAATTTTGTAAGTAAAGAAAAACTGCTATTATAAGGAAACAGAGCTTAATCTTTTTGTGACCCATGGGACATAGTTTGCCCACCTACATTTTCCACCTCTGGGGTTTACTGAGAAGATGCTATCCCACTTTTAATGCATGCTGCCATGTAGTAGGGCCCTATATAGCTGTGAAACTGAAAGAATGGGCCTCATCCCACCAATCCAACACAGAGATCCCCCCCCCATCAGGACATATGCATCCCACTAATTATACCAAAAGCTACTTTATCTCAAAAAATGTTGATTTTATGCAAAATGTCATCCATTATTGAATATTCCAAAACAATTTGGTCTTGAAAAGGTCAAATACTTTGGTGTCACAATTTAATTGTTCTACAAGATTATAGATTATTTCATTTTCTTTATAATTCATTAGAGTGCCCTTTTGCTGTTTTTCATCTTGAACTGTTAAATACTATTGCTGTCTTGGGTATTATCAAATTTAGGAGGGAGCTTTGTAAGGAGCTGGAAAATTGGGATTCCTTGGGTTTTTATTTTATTATTTTTTTTTTAAAGCTCTGAAAGGGACCCTGGAAATGATCTGGTTTAATTGGCTCACTTTATAAATGAGTTATTATAAGGTTAACTTAACTTGAAGGGCATGAGAACTCCCCAAGTACCCGTCACACTCCAGTCTCCTTTCCCTCCCTAACTAAATTAAATACAGTTAGCTTATATTTCCCCAACTTTGTTTTCTCTTCCACTGCCATTGATTTCTCACCCTGGATCTATTGTGTGCTTTACATCCTCCATACGGAGTTCTGGTAGGTTTGTGATGGTATGTCACTTATTGGTGTTTCAGCTGTGCTGTGCACATTTCAACTATGTAAAACTAATAGTTTAAAACTCAAAGACTTAATATTGAGGGTGTCACTGCTAAATATAATTTGGGGGTAGGGTAGTATACATGGGGTCATCGTCATCTATGGTTTCTGGTGTTGTATAAGAAAACACAAAACGCAGTAAATGACATCTGTTGTGGTTCTTTTAGGGCACCCCAGTTCTGATTAATAGTTTTTTTTTTCTTCTTTGTTACACATAGCTTTCTTTATGTGTTGATTAGGGGGAATGTTTTTCTTTACACAACCATTCCATTGTTCTGCCTGTGTACAACATAGTTTTGTTTTGAGACTTTTGGATACACATAATTAAGAACCTATCCTAGCAGATCACAAAGTGTTCCTTTGCAAGATAAAATTTGTGTTGACCTTGATGACTAAGCAAATGCAACATAAGTATGTATGTTTTATAAGGAAATCTAAGACCCTATGTGCAGTTCATACAGCAATTAATGTTTTGTTGTGAAATTTGGTTTTAAGGTGCCTTTTTAAAAAAAAAAAAAACATTTTCAGAAAAGAGCATTGTCTTGAGTGTCTTTAAAAAAGACCAACGGCCCATCTTGTTAGTTTGGAATGTCACATTGATGCATGAATGGTTTGGTCAAAGTGAGGTTTGGAGTGAGCAGCTTTCACCTTTGGGTAAAAACCTGCATTCTTAACTTGAAATGAATTCCTTCTTTGCAGGGAGACCTGGGCTAGAAAGAAAACCAATCTCTTATTTTATACCTGGTTAGGCTTCCCATCCCTACAAAAATGGGCAAGGATTTTTGGTTTTGGTTTTTGTTTTTCCTCATGGGTTGAGGGGATGAGGGAAAAGTTAAATGGAGGTATTGCAATGAATTATGTCTAATGAATAAAACTTCATCTTGTTTTTGCTTCCCTTTTCAAAAAAAAAAAAAGAAGCTGAAAGAGGACGTTAAAGTCATACTCATATTAGGCTACAGATTTTTTTTCTCCTCCTTCTCTCCCTCCTCTCCCTTTTCTGTGATTATAGACTACAGTATCCAATCTAGTTTTTGTTTTATTTATTTAGGTGGTTTTTTGTTTTGTTTTGTTTCTGCTGTTGCTGTTTTGCTGTTTTATGCTCCCCCCTTTTACATTCGGGGCACTCTTTCTCTCCCTATATTACACAAGAAGAGACAGCAACTGCTGCCTTATAGTCAAGATACAATCACATTCTACAAAATACCAAAATCCAGGCAAGAACCAATACCAACTGCCATACACCAGGGAGGCAGACAACACCTGTGAAAGTTACTCTGAGTTAAGCAATAAGAAGAGCGAAAAGATAATCCCACATCCTGATCACGCCTACTTGGAGGCAATCAGAAAGCATAAAAAATAGCAAAACACACACTCAATTATGTATTAAGGCCACAGATAAACACTAGACATGTCCAAGAAACAAATAACCTTGCCAACTAACTAGGAGAGCTCCATCTTCATGCCCATTTTTTAAAAAAGTGATCCAGCAGCATGAAGAATTATCAAATATTATCTTTTCTCTAAAAAAGAAAACAAAAAACAAAGTGTAAGAGACAAAATCTCAACATCTTCACTTATAAGGAATCTTCTGCCTATACTTTTTTCCAAAGATAGATTTGTTGGTTCTTCTGGCAGTGCATGCATGTTATTTTCAGCATTCCTTACCAGCACCACAATTCAAATGCATCTATTCTTCTATGGTCTTCCTTACTCATAGCCCAACTTTCACTTGTATATGAGGTGATTGAAAATACTATTGCTTGGACCAAGCTCACTTTAGTCCTCAGAGGTATATCTTAGCTCTTTAACCCTTTGAAGCAGACTTGTCTAATGCAGTATGCCTTTTGATTTCTTGACTGCTGCTTCCATGAATATTGATTGTGGATTCAAACAAACTAAAGTCTGACAACTTCAAACTTTTCTTCATTTCTCATGATGTTATTTACTGGTCGAGTTGTGAGGATATTTGCTTTGTTTACATTGAGGTGCCATGTATACTGAAGGCTGTGGTTGTGGTCTTTGATCTTTATCAGTAAGTATTTTAAGTCTTCTTCACTTTAAACAAGCATGGTTGTGTCATTTCCATATTGCGTGAGCCTGCCTCCAATGTCACATTCTTCTTCATATAATCAAGTTTCTTAGATTATTTGCTGAGCATACAGATTGAATAAGTATGATGAAAGAATACAAACCTCACACACTTTTCCTGATTTTAAACCTTTCAGTATCTCCTTGTTGTATTCAAATGCTGCTTTTTAAAATCTATGTACAGGTTCCCCATGAGCACAATTAAGTGTTCTTGAATATTCATTTTTGCAATACAATCTATTGTTTATTATGATCCACATAATTGAATGACTTTGTACAATCAGTAAAGCCTAAGTTGTCAAATTTCTGGTATTTTCTGCTTTCATCCAAGATCTTTCTGATGTCAGCAATGATATCCTTCATTCCATGTCCTTTTCTGAATCTGGCTTGAATTCTACCAGCTCCGTGTTAATATACTGCTGCAATCATTATTTAGTTATCTTGAGCAATGTTTTGCTTTTAAGTGAAATTAATTACCTGGAAGTATCAAACTAAAAGGGAAGAACATACTCAGCATTTCTCAAGCTGAAGAAACTGTCCATGGACTCAGGAGAGTCCCCAGTTCTAACCATATTTTGGACCAACCTGCCTTTCCTCTTCTCTCTCTCATCTCCAGGTTTATGGAAGTCTATGGAACGTGGTTGAGGTCTAATTCAGCCTATATCTTCATTGCTTCCTCTTTGCCACTTCCACTCACCAATGGACCAACATGGCCACCTACAAGCTTACAGTCCTGCTCCTGTGTTCCCTTTGAGTTTCAGTCTTGAAGTGGGGTTTGTCCTGAAGGGACTTGATTGCTTGCCTTCATGGTGCAATTGACTAGTAAGGTTGGTTTTGCTTACAATACTTTGTGAACTCAAAGAAGCCTTGTTCCAAGGATTAAAGAAATTGTGGGTTCATGTCTTAGGAAATATGAGTTGTTGAGTTCACTGAGTCAATTCCAACTCATAGCAACCCTGTATAGGGTTTCCTAGGAGTGACTGGTGAGCTTGAACCACCGACCTTGCCGTTCATACCGAACTTGTAGTCCAGCATGTT